GACCGCATAAAACAAATGCAGGTCTGTAATGTTAAAGTCGATGTAAATAAGCGTGCTACCCTTATGTTTCAACCGAGTTTTTCCTTTAACAAATTTTGTGTCTACCAAATTGGGTTGGTTGGGGTGTAATACTAATAATAAGTGTTGCCTTTAATTTAATCAATAAAATAAATTGACTTCATTAATTTTTTTGAACCACCTCTTAAGAAAATCTAAAAAATATGAATGGAATGATAAATCACAAGACGTCCATTCATATTTTTGGATTTGCATATGCAGGGTGACTCAAAAAAATTAATGAAGGCGTGAATTTATTTTATCGATTTAATCAGGAATTACAAAACCGAATGCTTTGAAATCTTGGGAATATTCTAAAGTTATGGACGACCAAATACGTTTTGATCAAAAATTTACCATGCTTATGATAATTTTAAAATATCTTCAAGATTTCGAAGCATTCGGTTTTGTAGTTCCTGAGTAAATCAGTAAAATAAATTTACGCTTTCATTTATTTTCTTGAATCACCCCGTATATGCAAATCCAAAATATCTGCACTTACCTGGCAACAATTATTGTAACTTGGTCCAATTTTTAAAATTTGGAGATATATATCCTCAATGACACTCACTCTTCAACAGTTTTTTTCGAATTGGCTTCGCATTTCGCAATCGCAACTGTTTCGTCTCGCCACCCAAACAAGTGATTCCCCCCGCGCCGCTCGTCGTTTCCAACTTCCGCTTTTTGCTATGGCTGGGAGTTTGTTTATATAAACTATGTCTCAACGTGCGATAAAGAAATGACACGGTCAGTGGCATAACTGAAGCAAATGCATATGTACTTTTTCTCTGCTTCTCTCGATGTATAAACATTAACAGTCGAAGTTAATCATGTATTGACAATATATAAAATGATTAAGAGATATTCTTCCGATCACAAAAAAAAATTTCAACATTTGCTATTTATGGTGCTTATTCACGAACACACAATAACAAATAAATAAATATTATAACATTATTGTTGCGAAAATCGGAAGTGCTGTTCTTGATTTGATGGGCGAAAAAAGTTGGAAGTGCCGGGATCTGTTACCGGAACTTCTAATTGCACTGCACACTCCACCTCCACTAAACCACAGGCCACAGTTGCTTATGTTAAAACTCATCATATTTTTGCACATTTTGAGTTAAACTTTTTTGGCAAAAATTGTAGATGACGTCATGAATTTTTTCGGGGGAATAAACAGATATATTTTCATTAACAATTTACCATGCTCACAATCAATTTTAACCATCTGCAAGATTTCAAAATATTCAGTTTAGCAATTCTTGATTTATTCACTAAAATAAAGTGACTGATTCATTTCTTTTTTTGAGTCACCCTGTATAAGCAAGTTAAAAAATTTGAATGCAATGATTAGTTACAAGTGTAGTCAGATCATATACTTTATTCAGTAAAATTGTGAGAAGACGTAATGAATTTTTTTTGGGGTTGATAAAGAGATACATTTTGATTAAACAGTTACCATGCTTACAATAACTTCAAAACGTCAAGATTTCTAAGTATTCAGTTTTGCAAAATCAATTCACTCCGTCATTAATTTTTTTCAGACACCCTGTATAAGCAAATATCAAAAATTTTACAAGTATAGTCAGATCATATACTTTATTCAGCAAAATTCTGAGAAGACGTAATGAATTTTTTTTGGGGTTGATGAAGAGATACATTTTGATTAAACAGTTACCATGCTTACAATAACTTCAGAACGTCAAGATTTCTAAGTATTCAGTTTTGCAAAATCAATTCACTCCGTCATTAATTTTTTTCCAGACACCCTGTATAAGCAAATATTAAAAATTTTAAAAGTATAGTCAGATCATATACTTTATTCAGCAAAATTGTGAGAAGACGTAATGAATTTTTTTTGGGGTTGATAAAGAGATACATTTTGATTAAACAGTTACCACGCTTACAATAACTTCAAAACGTCAAGATTTCTAAGTATTCAGTTTTGCAAAATCAATTCACTCCGTCATTAATTTTTTTCAGACACCCTGTATAAGCAAATATTAAAAATTTTAATGCAGTGATAAATCACAAGTATGGACTCATCATACTTTACACATTGAAGATGGCATTTTTTCAGCAAAATTTTGGGGTGACGTCATAAATTTTTTAGGGGGGACGACCAAATACATTTTGATCAAAAATTTACCATGCTTATGATAATTTTAAAATATCTTCAAGATTTCGAAGCATTCGGTTTTGTAGTTCCTGAGTAAATCAGTAAAATAAATTTACGCTTTCATTTATTTTCTTGAATCACCCTGTATATGCAAATCCAAAAAATATAAATGGAATGATAGATCACAAGTACAGACTGATCATATTTTGTGCATTTTAGATATGATTTATTCGGCAAACTTTCGAGCTGACGTCATCAAGTTTTTGGAGGGGATAAGCAAATATATTTTGACTAAACATTTATTATGCTCTTTATAACCTTAAAACATCTGCAAGATGTCAGAGCATTCCGTTTTGTAGTTCCTGATTAAATCAATAAAATATATTTACGCATTCATTAATTTTTTTGAGTAACTCTGTATATGCAAATCCAAAAAATATGAATGGAGTGATAAATGACAAGTACAGGCTCATCATATTTTGTACATTTTAGATATGATTTATTCGGCAAACTTTCGAGCTGACGTCATCAAGTTTTTGGAGGGGATAAGCAAATATATTTTGACTAAACATTTATTATGCTCTTTATAACCTTAAAACATCTGCAAGATGTCAGAGCATTCCGTTTTGTAGTTCCTGATTAAATCAATAAAATATATTTGCGCATTCATTAATTTTTTTGAGTCACTCTGTATATGCAAATCCAAAAAATATGAATGGAGTGATAAATGATAAGTACAGGCTCATCATATTTTGTACATTTTAGATATGATTTATTCGGCAAACTTTCGAGCTGACGTCATCAAGTTTTTGGAGGGGATAAGCAAATATATTTTGACTAAACATTTATTATGCTCTTTATAACCTTAAAACATCTGCAAGATGTCAGAGCATTCCGTTTTGTAGTTCCTGATTAAATCAATAAAATATATTTACGCATTCATTAATTTTTTTGAGTAACTCTGTATATGCAAATCCAAAAAATATGAATGGAGTGATAAATGACAAGTACAGGCTCATCATATTTTGTACATTTTAGATATGATTTATTCGGCAAACTTTCGAGCTGACGTCATCAAGTTTTTGGAGGGGATAAGCAAATATATTTTGACTAAACATTTATTATGCTCTTTATAACCTTAAAACATCTGCAAGATGTCAGAGCATTCCGTTTTGTAGTTCCTGATTAAATCAATAAAATATATTTGCGCATTCATTAATTTTTTTGAGTCACTCTGTATATGCAAATCCAAAAAATATGAATGGAGTGATAAATGATAAGTACAGGCTCATCATATTTTGTACATTTTAGATATGATTTATTCGGCAAACTTTCGAGCTGACGTCATCAAGTTTTTGGAGGGGATAAGCAAATATATTTTGACTAAACATTTATTATGCTCTTTATAACCTTAAAACATCTGCAAGATGTCAGAGCATTCCGTTTTGTAGTTCCTGATTAAATCAATAAAATATATTTACGCATTCATTAATTTTTTTGAGTAACTCTGTATATGCAAATCCAAAAAATATGAATGGAGTGATAAATGACAAGTACAGGCTCATCATATTTTGTACATTTTAGATATGATTTATTCGGCAAACTTTCGAGCTGACGTCATCAAGTTTTTGGAGGGGATAAGCAAATATATTTTGACTAAACATTTATTATGCTCTTTATAACCTTAAAACATCTGCAAGATGTCAGAGCATTCCGTTTTGTAGTTCCTGATTAAATCAATAAAATATATTTGCGCATTCATTAATTTTTTTGAGTCACTCTGTATATGCAAATCCAAAAAATATGAATGGAGTGATAAATGATAAGTACAGGCTCATCATATTTTGTACATTTTAGATATGATTTATTCGGCAAACTTTCGAGCTGACGTCATCAAGTTTTTGGAGGGGATAAGCAAATATATTTTGACTAAACATTTATTATGCTCTTTATGACCTTAAAACATCTGCAAGATTTCAGAGCATTCGGTTTTGTAGTTCCTGATTAAATCAATAAAATATATTTACGCATTCATTAATTTTTTTGAGTCACCCTGTATATGCAAATCCAAAAAATATGAATGGAGTGATAGATCAGAAGTACAGACTCATCATATTTTGTACATTTTAGATATGATTTATTCCACAAACTTTTGAGCTGACGTCATCAAGTTTTTGGAGGGGATAAGCAAATATTTTTTGACTAAAGATTTATGATGCTCTTTATAGCCTTAAAATATCTGCAACATTTCAAAGCATTCTGGTTAGCAGATTAAAAATTAAATTTCAAAATGTTGTTTTATAATTTTGATTTTTTTTCCAAAAATCTGGACGTTTCGGGTGAAAAGTCGATTCAGAGTTGTAAACTACATGTGTAGGACTATGTTATTTTATACAATTGAAAACCCATTTACTATGTACAATTTTGAAGTGACGTCATCGCTTTAGTGGTGGGGATGATTAGACAAATTTTGGTTAGCGTTTTACCATCTACATGATATTCTTAATATAAGTACAAAATTTCACAACAATCGGTCGAGTACTTTCAGAGATTATCTGTCTAATAAAAATCCGGGACAACAGACGGACAGACGGACAGACGGACAGACGGATAGACGGACGGACAGACGGACAGACGGACAGACGGACAGACAGACGGAAATGGGAGACCTATTTCTTCGTCTTCTAGGGGTCATGAAAGATCGAGAAAACGTAAAAGTAGAGAGTCGGCCGACGGACTCGATTACAATACTTCCTTTGCTTACGCTCGGGAAGTAAAAATACGCGTACATGGTAATTTCTAACTGCAATTTTCAACTTACCCGTCAGGAAATTCACTTATTTTTGAAATTTATGATCACAAAAAACTTTTATAAAATATGTTTACAATTAAAGTATTACTTTATTACGGTAAACTTTTAAATCATCCGTATTACAATAACCACCAACTTTTTAATGTTGTTCCTTATATACTATGTTCCAAAAGTGGGGTTAGCATATCTGATAAGTTGGTGTTATCAAGAGCAAGACTTTCCAAGTTATGAAAAAAACAAAATCTGATAAATGGCTAATTTAATGTTTTCTCCACGGTTCATAGCTTATAATGTATAAATATGTTTCGTACGTAGATTTAGATTTACGAGTATTAAAGCAACTAGCAATAAATTAAAATAAAATAAAGCAAACAAGAGATCAAGTAATAATATGTACACGTAGTTTACGGCGGGGTGAATAGCTATAAGGTTAATTTAAAACAAAAAACAATTAATTTTTGATGTTACTGAAACTATGCTGTACCAACTTCAGATGTTTGTGGACGAAACACCATCGGATGATTATGAAGCATAGCTTAATGTACTTGCATGCTTAAAATGAGAGTTAGTCTCTTTTAGTTTTTTGTTTAAGCTTCGTAATAAATCAATAAACACGTCACCCACATGCTTTTTGCAAAAAGTGCAAAAAGTTTGTACATAATTAACATTTTAAATTCATTGCTTTTTGGTTAGTTACTACAAGTAAACATTTTAAAAGCTAGATTTAAGATATCGATAAATATGAAGTGTTTATTGACGTCTTGCGTGAAAATTTTCCAATCAAATCACAACATTTTTTCTTATTTAAGTAGTATAATTCATATTTATCTAGTTGTTTCCATTTGCGTCGTAGCAGATAAGATATTATTTATTTGCCAAGAATTGGTTTCGCAATTCAATTATATTCAATACAGTACAGAAAGACAAAATAAAATTGACAGTCAAATAGCAAATAATTTACATCCTAAAACTTTTTGTATATCTTCTCAAATTTTTTAATTATAAAAAAAAAGTAAAATTTGCCACAATTTTGTGGAAAATTTATTAGTGCTTTTGACGGTTGAGAGAGAAACCGAAGTTAAACAGAAACATTACATGATATAATATATATAATATTGTTTTCGCTATATAGATAAGTAAATAAATAAATTAATAAACACAAGACAAATCTTCACAATATCTGAAGACAGAGGAAGGATGTAGGTATGTATACAAAGATGTCAATCATAAAATAGTTTTTTTCTTTTGATTTTCGTCTTCCGTCAATTGTGTTCTGCTAATTGTCAATTTTGTGCTGATTAGAAAGAAAAACAAAAACGGCTGGAAAAAGCTCCAGCCGTCAACAGTCACAATGGTTGTATTATTCCGCACCTATTTTATTCACATATGATTCTTCTCATACCGATTAACTTCTTGTTAATTGTTATTAAAGAGGAATAAACACAACGAAACATTTTTATAAACGTTTATTATCACCAGCTTTCACTAAAAATGTCTCAAAGCACCAACAAAAACAGTGTTTGATGCACTTATTCCCTCTGTAATTTATAAATAACCCTTTTTGCGGCGCATTTTCTGGCCTCAGTCTGGCGTATTTCTTGTACAGTTCCAAATGACTGATCGACTTCTTTTGCTCATGAACAATGGTAAATCGTCGCGACTTTTGTGTCTTAGTGTCAACAAGGACGGTTCCTCTATACAACTATTTCTATGCTCAACAGTTCTTCGGTCCTGCAACTTCGACCACTACCCATAGTAGCAAATTTTGAATCCCTAGGGATTCAAAAAATTTCAGTTGTTTTAGGGAATTCTCAACTGCCGAGGATAAACAAAGATGAAAGTCGAAAGTTGTTGCTGTAAAATTAAGTTGAAGAAGTTCGTGATAAATTTAAATTACGAAGTTGATGTAATAATTTCATGGAGTAGCAGCTACAGGGCGAAATCAAGACTATAGTCGCTGACGCTTTCTTCATTTTTGCTGACGTAATTGAAGAATGATAAATGGGCTATTACTTTTTTATAACGACTCGTATTAGATTTATTTGTCAAGGATTTTTATAAGTAGACACGAAAGACAATTAAGGCAGTTATTTGTGTATGTTTCGTATCTTCGTACGTATAACAAAGAAAAATAATCAGAATTATAGGAAGGCAGAAATATCTACCAAACACAGACGAAACGGAGATCAAAGGCGAAGAGGTAATGTAGTCACCACAGTAAAATTTTGTCTGTATTTTTTAACAAACTATTGATTGTAGATATTGGCAAGACCAGTGGAACACTTTTACAAGCGGGCCCAGAAAATCGGAACATTTTTAACCGACTGTTTGGTGCTTGCAATGTTTGGGTAAAGTGCCCTCAAGACGAATTGAAAATGTTTAATGATATTGAAAGTGGACTATACGAAATGCTTATTATGTAAGTTTCGTTATACTCACCTTAATTTAATTACCTACTTTAATCCATGTACTTTTTCCAGAGTAGACGATATTCTGGACGGAACGATACTTCGCAGAGGACTTTTTTCTGCACACATGGTTTATGGAATTCCGCTAACTCTGTATGCTACACTACACAAGATGGTTCTAATAATGAAAAATGTACTCTGTTATGCGGAAAACCGGGAGGTAACCAACAACCACTGATGAAAATTTCTCTCTTTGTTACTGTTTATGTTTTTATTTAGGACATCGCTCTTGATGATTATATTACTTTAGGTATTCGATTCTTCACTGGACAAGGACTCGAAGTCTACTATAGAGACATCCAACAATGTCCTACTTTTAACGATTTTAGAGCACTAATTCGTGCTAGTAAGTTCAAGGTTTTATAATTTTTGAAATGGAGTCTCCTGTTTTAGAATGTGCCACTGCTTTCGTATGGGGAGTCCAATGGTTAAAACTGTGCGCTAAAAACGATAAAATCGAGTTGAGTGTAGATTTTTGTAACAAAATAGGTGAATTTCTTCAGATATATGACGACTACATAAATTTGCAGTCCTAAGGTAAGCAACCGACTTACCCGTTTTTCATTTGTTTGAACTAATTTTCTAGTACGCAACCGTTCGGATTCTTTGCGACGATCTTGATGAGGGAAAATTTAACTTTCTTGTAATGCATGCAATTCACACCCATCCCAACGATCATCGCATTCTGAGTATCCTTCGTATAAAATAGGAGCTTCGCTTTGTCATGGATCCAATATCACGATTTATTTTCTTAATTCTCTGTCTTAGATATGTTAAAAAAAAGACCACTGGATATAGAAAGTAAGAAACTCTTTGTGGAGATACTGGAAAGTTTTGGAAGCTTCGAGTACACGCGAAAGGTACTGGAAGAGTTGAAAAATGGAATTCTGGTCGACGTGGACGACATGAATGTGGGAAAAAAATCGTGTCTAGAACGAGTTCTTCACGATGTACTCGACAATTTAGAAACGGAAATTTATTACGATGGTTGCGAGTAATATAAACTTCGCGATTGCATGTGTTTCATTTGTTTGTAAAGGTACGATACCAAATTAATTCTACAGGACGGTAAAAATGTAATGTATCTTCTAAGTGTCGAGTTTTAAATTAAATTAACCGTTCCAAATATGCTTTGTATACGCTATCTACTTTATTTTACTGCATCATACATTTGTCATACAAAATTCTTTATTCCTCGTTAATCGAAAAAGTTCTGCGCCGGTACTCTTCGCAAAATATTATTGAACCACACTATAAAATATTGTGTGTAGAAATGTGGAAATAGTTCTAGCAGGTAGTTAAGCGCGTCGTTTCCGTTTTGGTTAATTTTGGCATTCAGAGCATCGTTCTGCCACTGATCATCAAATACTTTCGTATAATTAAATATGGTTTGTTGAGGTACCATATACAACGTACTGTTGACCGCTCTAAAATAGACGGTGCCATTTCTTGGAACTTCTTGCAGGTTGAATGTTAGTTCGAAAGTCGGGTTAACTGAAAAATATAAACTGTGAATGATCCAGTCTAAAACAAAGTATCTTCTTACCTAATAGAATAGAACTATTTCGGCTTATCGTGTTCATTGGAATGGTGATAAATCTGCCATATATTCCATAATCAAACGTGAAAAGCACCGCATTGTAGGTAATGTTTATGGACAAAACTCCCGACGCAGGATTGAATCTGAAAGAAAATTATTCAGGTGGACCCGTTTCACGTTTTTTACGTATTTATAATACGTAGCGCTGGTTGAGTTGATATTCGTCAATCCGAAAATTTCCATGTTGGTGTAGTTTTGTCGAAGACCAGTCCTTGCATCTCCGTATACGGCTGGACTCGGTACTTTGAAAGGGTCGATAACTGGTAGATCGTAGTCGGGTATGGGTACTACCATCTGGATGATCGCGTGTTGAATGGCATTCGATAAACAGTTATTAAAACTTGGAAGTTGTATATTGCATCTGATGATAAAAGTTGGCACTGAAGAAATTTTGATTATGATGAGAAAAACGGGAAAAGAAGGTACTTACTTGGGCCCATGCAGTAGCAGCAGGTTAGGAGGGCTGCTGTAAGAATTACCGCCGAAGTGTTCATTGTTTCGACTACGAACTGTTGGCCAGAGTTTCTGTATTTATATTGTATTTTTGGTGAGGTAGCGAATATTTATTACCCCATTTTTATCACGCTTTTATTAGCTTGGGTTGTATCTATGTATGTATGTAACGGAATCTTTGAGCTTAATTTTCATCGGTTTCTAAAAGTCTGATCATCTTGAAACTTTGCACACGTCTCAAGGATCGATGACAATGCAATAATTTGATAACAGTTTCCCATTATCCTTATTAGGACCGCCAGGATCCTCGATCCTACGGAGACCACTGAGTGGTTCTTTCTAGAAAAATCTAAATAAGTAATTAATTCCCCAATTTATGAATTTGTCGCAGACTAAAAAATGAAAAATAAATAATAGTTTAAAAAACTAAAAAAACACGCTTTTATTGCTAATCGAACTAAAAACTAGAAAATAATTTTTAATGACAGAGTTTAATATTACAGTAGTAGAAGATCAAACAATCAATCATAATAAATCACCTCAAATTAAAATTATAATAAAATTTAAGTTATTAACAGAATAATT